TGAAAAGAATTTGTTCTTGTTCGAAATTGTACTTTTACGTAAGAAATGCGTCGTATGTTAGGATACGACCGTTTTGTTACTTCAATCAGTTTTTCGATTCGTTTGATGACGTGATGATTGAATGAGTTGAAATGATTTGAGTTATCATACTTCATCTTTCTTCGTTGTTCTCTTTTCTCTCCTCCCTTTCGCATTTTCCGCAATATCTCTCTCTTCTCTCTCGTCGTCTCGTGCACGTCTCATCTTCATCTTTGAATTTTGTTTACTTTATGGAACTCTTATCAGCACGTCTCCTATGACGGATGTTGTATCGTTTGTTCGAAACACGTCTCTGGAATAGCGTGCAGCAATAAGAATCATTATTGTGTGAATTTTTCGCCGACTGCTCACTCTCTACCCACTGAGCCGTAATTGGCTTTGATAATGTCGATGAGTTCACCTGTTCCAATGACTGGTCTCCTAGATAGTATTGTTGCTGATGATCAAGCATACTTAGAAATATGACAAACAACAAGCTACGAACTTCAAGAGTAATAGACTTTTGTTCTTTGTTCTTTGGTATTCTCTTATTACTCATACACGAGAGATACCTATCATTATGAAGATTGATGCTTCCGATAGAGAATACGATCCTTTCCTAGGTAGTCTGGTTACGATTCAGTCAATAGTCTATGAACCATGTTTTTGCGACACATTCCAAGATCCATTCTTTTCGTTGCTAATGCCGACCGGAAGGATAGCCGGTTCATTCGTTGCTTATTTAATCCTTGAGACAAACGGAGATATTTTTGTCGAGAACTCCCTTCCGAGGGCACTATAACATTTCTCATTTCTCGACCGAGGTACGTCTGAAGCTCGAGCGAAGCAATGCCGATCAATTCCAGACTTACATCCAAGCTGGAACTCTCCCCGCTTCTCCACACCACACCATTTCGCCACAATAATTTTTCAGTAGATATTCTGAGCAACATGACGTTATTAGTCGGTTGACTGAAAAACTGATCCTATTCAGCCTGCCATACTTGTCGAGCCTTGCTCATAACAACCATCCTCGATCCATGTAGCGACCACGATGTGACTGTATGATAAGCGAATAGCACCGATTCTTTTCGTCACTTAAAAGGTGACAAGCCAATATCGTTCATTGACATTTTTGCAAAAGACTACTCAATATTCGAGGACTTTAGCTCTCGTTGTTGAGATCTCCGTATGAGAATACGTCTCAGGTCCAGCAAATCGTTAGGCGTTACGGTGAAATTACGATCCGTCATATTGCCGTTTTCACCCGTGAAGACATGTCCATTTTAACGGCAGTGGATACCCGTATCGTATGTGGAAAGCGTCAACGCTACATTTTTATATCGCAAACTTTTTTCATCCATTTTACGGATGTGATTTTACTGCTTGTTGCTGCACCTATTCTGTCTCTATATTTGTCAAGTATTTTGCTAACCTCTCTTGGCTTCTACCTCTCTCTTCTCCTTCTTTCCTCTCTCCTCTCTTTCTTCCCTCTCCCTTCTCCCTCTTCCTTCTCCCCTCTCCTTCTTGCCGTCCTCGCCTGTGCGGTACTCTCTCTCTTCTCTCTCCTGTGTGTTCTTTTTTCTCTCTCCCTTCTCTCGTGTATGTATCCTCACTTTTCCCTCTATCCTGGATACTCCACTGTCCCCTTTCCTAATGCGCTTCCTCCTCCCCTCTTTGACGGTCGCTCCTCTCCTCCATCTTTGGCTTCCAATTCTGGATGGCTGCCTGACTCTTTCTAGATCTGTCTCTACCTGGTCTTTTCCTTTCATCCACTTACTCGCTCACTCGTTATCCTACAGCCGGTTGTTTATTCATTGGTTTGATGACTATAATTGAATGGCACCTTGTGCTTGAAGAAATCCGCTTACATGTTCTTTTGACCTGATGCAAACAAACATACAAACTATTTTTTCCTAAGATCTTCCCTACAGTCGACAGGAAAAGTTCTATCCACCTTCAACCTTTAGTTAATAATGTGGCAGCAAACTAGTAAAAATTTGTCTCTCTCAGACGTATCGTTTTCCAATGATGTACTCTATGTGAGAGAATTAGAAATTTCACAAAACTCGTATTCCTTTATTTCTTGGCTGATGTTCAAGATGATGAGACGAGGCTAATTCAGATTGTAGCTATCACCTCGAAAATCCTACAAAGAAACTTGTTTTCATAGGCCTTGATCTTCATTGTTTGTCACTACACTCATTGTGTTCAGCGGTCACATGAGTTCAGGGTCAGACTTCCTACCTCAAATCAGACATGGACGATCAGTCTCCTTCGAACTCGGTTTTCATTGTTTCCTGGTTGACCAGTAGGATTTCGATGCGAGTCTTGACCAGATTCAGACTGTCCGCATAAAAATACATGCAACTGAATGTTTTTCAGAAAACTCTAATTCCACTAGTTCCGGTCGACTAATTTCGAGCGAAACGGACCTCGAATCCGGATTTCCGAGGCTTGATTACCTAATTCCTATTGGTTTTGTAGCGTAAATCTGTATTCCTACATGATCAAGAAATGCTGCTTTCTGATTGGTTGGACAGACAGACAAATATTTTCTGTTTGTAAAACCGTTTCTTTCAGAAAAAGGAATTATCACACGCCCACTGTAGGTCGGACCCCCAAATCCGTCGTTCCCTGATATTCTCACTCTACCCTCAGTGCTTCCATAATGAACGTTGATTTCCAACTCAGTCAGCCCAAACAGATCCAGGATTCGAGTTCTCCGCATCGAAAAACCCTGAAAAGCGCTTTTTGATGAAGTTTAGATTTTGATGTTTCTTTGACCCCGAAAGTGCCTGACCTCTCTCAACCCTCTCGGACCGAATCCGCCTCAGATTCGAGTTCTCCACATCGAAAAACCCTGAAAAACGCATTTTTGGCAAACTTCAGAAACATCATGAAAAGTTTCTTTTTCAATTAATTCGATTTCATCGGTCATTCTAGCTTTTAAATTATCTGAATCTTCAACTGATGCTTTGTAAACATTTGTCTTGAGATGACCCCAAAGAAAAAAGTCCAATGAAGTTAAGTCAAGCGATCGAGGAGCCCATCATATCGATCCGCCTCTTCCTCACCATCTGTTGTTGAACACATCGTAATTGAAAAAGAAACTTTTCATAATATTTTTTTAGAAACTGAAACGTCTAAATTTCTGTATTGACGTCAAAGGTAACACTTTTGAGCAGTATCTATAACTCCATTGGTATGAAACAAAACTTACTACTCTCCTCTTTTAAACAAAGCAAAATATTTGACTTGACTCTGATAAATAATGGAGAAATCGAAATTTCTTAAGCGAACAGGACTTTTGGGACACCCTGTATCTGTCTGGTAATTATTGGATACTGAAAAGCTTATCCTGACCTAAAACAGCCTGTATGTGAAATCCATCGATACCTTCTCTTGGAAGATTTGCTCTATCTCACCACAGTGTTGCAGATTTCATCTCGTTTGTTCTACTTCATTCCTTAGAATTTGAGAACTGATTCTTTTGAGCTTTTGAAGTCTTCGCCAGAGAGACATAAGAAAGGTCTTTTCCAAATCTATGGTTTGGAATCTGGGAGTTCTCAGCTGAGAACATGACCAAGAACTGTTCCATAAAAAGGATTGTACAAAGTTGTGTTAGTTTCTGATATCTTATCAGTTACAGCATATAAACTACTGCGCTTCAAAGAAAGCAGAGAATGATCAGTTGCGAAAGAGAACACAAAACATTTCAGGTGTGCTGCAGAATATCTTTCAGCAAGCCTGTAGATACGGTTATTGATATAGGTATCTGCTCAGGAAAGACATTCTGTGTATGTGATTCTATGTCTGCATCAGTGTAATTACTGCAACATTTAAGAATGGTTTACCCACAAACCTCAGTGGCGTTTATCAATCTTCTGAGTATGCGGGGATGTATATACTCGTTAACAAATCACGCATTTAAAAAAGCAAGTCAAGGTAGGGGATTTACCTAAGAAAACCCAATGCTATGCGATTCAATACATGTAGCGACAGATAAGGACAGAGACTGATCCTTCATGTGTGTTCTAATCATTATCTGATGTTAATCAGGGGGTGGGGTGGGCTAGTTGATGGGATAGGACGGTTAGCTCATGATAAATAATGATCGCTGAATTATGGTTGGCAAGAAGCCAACAGTACTATCTTTTCTGACACTTCATTTGGTGAATTCATTTCTTATTCAGCTCCTTTCAAAAGTTGAGAAAATCAACAATTTATGCTATCATTCATTGAGCCGAATTCAGATGTACCGATTCGATTCGACCCGAGAAAATTTATTTTCAATTCGATTCGGTCCGATTCGACTCTGGTTTTTAAAATTAGGATTCGATCCGATTCGATTCGGTCTATCTACTAAAAATCCAGTTCGGTTCGATTCGATTCGATCGAATCGAATGGATTCGGGTCGAATAATTCGGTAATTCGATTCGGTTTCGAGCTCTGTCAAGTACGTCAAGCTAGTAAGTGTCCACGCTGCACTCTTCAAAGAATTTCTCTTTCATATGATTTCTTTCTGGTCTACGTAGACAGGTTTGAACCAAGAAATAAAAGAACAAGGTGGCGGAACTCTCCATCAATGCACTGTTGTGAGATGGTTGTCTCTCTCAGATTTATTGGAATCAGTTGTTCAGTCGTTCAAGATCACGAAGAAATTATTGATGGGCAAAGAAAAGCAACGACTGATTATGGATTTGAATCTTCAATGTTTGAAACAGTTGTGCACGTTATTGAAACCATTCAAGCAAATCATGATCTGTGTGCAAAAAGGTGATGAGCCATCGCTTTATCTTGTTCCAATGTGCTTTATTACATTGAAAGAAACTTTATTTTCATTCGAATCCTTGAAAAGATACGTTCAGGAGAATGCCAACGGAGGGAAAGAAAATCAATTCTGCGATGATCCAGACGATTCCGATCTTGACTATGAATTACCAGGTGGACTGAATGAAGACCGTTCCCTCTAGGAAATTGCGTTTTTCCCATATAGGTGTCAAGTGGTTTCGCGAGCGTCTTTTGTCTTTATTGAATGAGATGATTATCTTGGACATTCGGCAAGTGATCGCGACATTACTTCATCCACGCTATAGATCATTGAAAAAGCTGCCCGATCACCTTAAAGATCAATCCCACAAACATGTTCGTCAAGAAGTTAGAAGGATTCGTGCGCAACTGGAGGTTCTTGAACAGAACCAAAAGCATTCGCTTGAACCACCTAGCAAACGAATGAAGAACCAGACCAGTTTCTTCGCACGTTTCGAATCTGGAAACTTGAGTGAAGAAGCAAACGAGGCCGGTGAAAGTGGGAATGAAAGCGAGGAATTTGAATTTGATTTCAAAAAAGGTGATGAATTGGATCGATACTTGTTACTGGAATTAGATCAAAATCAAAAGACCGATCCCTTGGAATTCTGGAAGAATCATCAATTGAGATTTCCCTGTCTTTCTCGACACGCCCGAGCAATCTTCTCTATTCCAGCAACGACCACGAACGTGGAAAGAGAATTTTCAGCGGTTGGATTTTGAATGAAAGGAGGACCAGCCTCCTGCCTCATACTTTGGATGATGTCGTGCTGGTGCAATCAGCGGAAAAACACCGACAGAAACCCAGCGAATGAAGTGTCTTTGTTTTTTTCTCCCTTGTTTGTTGATTTCTCTTCATCATTTTTTATTGATTCTTTTTTGTCTAAGGAAGGTCCATATCAACTTTTTTGATGCTGAATTAGGTGTGTTGAATTATTAGTTTCTATCAGTCTTCTGCCAATCCTCATGGGATTTTTGCTTTTGATGTAAATTGGTGTGGCTCGAAGATCACTGAAATTCAATGAATATTCTCTGCGACAAGGTTGAACTGTTGTCTGCTTTGATCTCGATCCAATGATAGAATGAAGAGTGTTTCGAATTTGCAGGGCACCCTGCCCTGCCCTGCTCAACAGGGCAGGGTGCCAAAAACTTACCCTGTGTGATGGCAAAGTCACTTTTCAAATCAGTGAACAAAGAAAAGATTTTCATCGACATTTGACGAATTCTCTCTCCTTTTCAAAGAAGATTTCTCTTTGATGAACACAAATCTTTTCTTGGACATTTCCTTCCAAAACAAACAGGAAAAGACTTCGATCGATATCTTCTTCAGAAAGATTTGATTCCATCCATATCGGACAAAGAGATCTACTCAGAGCGACGACTCATTGATCAACATGGAATTGAAATCAGTTGTTTCAAAGTGAAAAATCTTCTCGTGAAAGAATTGAATTCGTTGGAAAGAAAAGATCAACATCTCATCGAAATGCTTTCTTCCTTCTGATCTGAGAGAAAAGATTTCTTTCTTTGTTTTCAATGGCAAATGTTTGATTAGATCAATGAGTTGACCAAGAAGATCTCCAAAGATTTTTGTCCATTGAGGATCAATCAAATGAGAGAGAAGAAAACAAATGACGACGACGACGATCATCATCATCATCAAAATGAAGAGAAATTCTCCCGGTCAAAACTGATCTCGAAATCAAATCGATTTCGATCGAAGAAAATCATTTGATCCTTCATTGAGATAATCGAAATCGAATGAGCCCTATTCAGTGGACAAAAACAGGTTCAAAGAGAAAAGAAAGTCGTAATTGATTTCATTCCATTCAGGAGGAAGCGAAATTTGATTTGACCCATCGATCTTTTTTTCTTCTGAAGATGAGATTTCTACTTTGATACCGTTTGGTTCGCCACATCCTAAACATAATCGTGTCAAACTCATTCGTACATAAAAAGAGACGACGATACCAATGATTTTCGAGCGAACCGAACGGAAATTTCTTGACTTTAGTCTAGGGTCTTACGAAATGGTTGTCTGTGTGTCTGTGGTGTGCGCAAAATACAGAAAAATGGGTATTAGATATTCTATGGATAAGCGAATCACAAGAGAGAGAAGTAGAAAATTATTTTTTACACAAGGGGGAAATATTCAAAGAGATCATCTGAAATATGTACTGATGCAGAGAGGTAAACAGCTAAGCAAACGTTTTGTAGGCCGGGTGGTAGATGTTGCCAGATAGCAGTCAACTGCAACAATACAAAAAAGTGGTATACGGGTAATAAAATTGACAGTGTATAGATAATCTATTATAACAAATCGATTAGAAATACTTCCAACCTCTTTGGGATCTGCAGAGGGTGTGCAAAAAAACCTTTTAGCTTTATATTATATTAGATGGTTTT